TATCGATCATCTATCTATCATCTATCTATCTATCATCTATCTACCATTATCTATCTATTTATCTATCTATCTATCATCTATCTAATCTATCTATCATCTATCTATCTTCATCATTATCTGTCATCTATTATCTATCCATTTAATCTAGTATGCATATCTGTTTTGGTGTCTGTTTGTACATTGCTAGGAATTCACCACAGGTCTTGCACATGTTAATCAATTGCACTATCATTGTGCTGTTTCCCCAGCCTAGTGCTTGTGCATTTTAATAATTATTGCAGAATTACTCTGCAACTTGATTACCGCTACTTCAGACTGACCAGAAAGCTCACTCAGACTCATTAACACCTAGAACTTCAAGAGAACAGAATGTTGTGATGAGATTTCTTTTCTGGAGTGAAAAAAAAACCCCATAGTTTATTTAGGAGGCCCCAATTAGTCTTCATTCATGGATTTACATGGGGGAATCATTCAAATTCATTTCCTTTTTGTATTTTTTTTGAGATGCAGTCTCAGTATATAGGCTGGCTAGCTTGAAATTTGCTATATACATCAGGCTGGCCTGGGACTCATAGAGATCTGCCTGCTTCTGCCTCCTGAGTGCTGGGATTAAAGGTGTGCGCATGGGAAATTCACTGAACACTATTTGGCAGTATTAGTAAGGTTTTCATTTAAAAGCTACCGTTGTAGAATTTTGTTACTTTTCTCTTTGTGTACCCACATGCCCTCAGATATTTACTTTATAAACAATGAATGATTCATTTTTTTGCTTATTGTGGGAGAAAATCCAGTGAATGAATTCTGCCCAAATTCCCTGAGTAGCATCTCTATGTGAACTTTTCAGAGTGAATGTAAATACATGCTGCGGAATTTGGAACAATTCACTCTTGAATTCTAATTCAGTGCTGCTCTAGAGAACAGTAAGATGTGTCTTCATTGAGTCTGCATTACACGAGCTCTGCTGCCCTGAATTTCCACTCCAGGAATGGCAGTAAAAGATAAAAGAGTGTTCTGAATTGATAGCTTTCATTCAGTTGTGGGGCAAAAGATGTTTAAATTAACAACTGTTTCAGTCAAAGTAGAAGTAGACAGCAAATTGTGTTCTAAGTAAAAGAAATTTAAAGTGAAGCCAGTTTGAGTGACATTTGAATTTCATTTAATACTTTTAAAAGGATGTATAACCAGCATTAGCATGTTAATTTATTGGATTCTACCTCTTAGAATCCCCAAATATTTTCATTACTCTCAGAAACCAGCTGTATAAATCCCAGAAAAAATATTTTTTGTTTTTTTATTATTTATTTAGTAACCACATGATTAGAAGAAGCATTTCATAATAGCTTTAACATATTCAATAACAATTTCCAGAACAAAGATACATCTCTTTCAGAAGGGACTATAAATTTTTAGGTTCACAGTTGAATTAATACTGTTATACAATATTGAACTCAGTATAAACCCTATAAGAAATAAAATTGAATGATGTTTTAACCTTTAAAAAAGATCTCCCTTTCATTTTAAAATATACTGTTTCCTACAGAAAAACTCATTTTAATGCTACTAACACTTAGATGTTTGCACATGTGTCTATAATCTCTATGTATCTGATTATTATTAGTTAAAGTCAGTTACACTCAGAACCTTGGCACCTGAGTATGGATATAAAGTCATCAGGTAGATTTCAGTGATAATGTTTTTCACCTCTACTAATTAACATGAAGCAAATTTTTGTACTTCATCTTGAAATATAACTTATTTTTTAATTTGTTGACTTTTTTGTATGTATATCATACAGAACATCCCAAACAATCTTACTCATCTATATACCCAATTCCCAAATGGCACCCTCCCATAGCCTCCCCTGCCCACTCTAGCCCATATACTCTGTCATCCCTGTTATTGTCCACTGTGTTGTCAGCACCCCAAGCCATTCCCCAGTGCTTGTCCATCCACTGAGTCTAGTCAGCCTATCTAGAGTTCCTTGTTTTAGGAAGATCAGCTCTTCCTCATCTAGCAGCAATCAGTTGTCAATATTCCTTTAGATAAGATTGGGGTCTGCTGTTCATTTTCCCAGTTCTATGCTGAGTTACTATCTGGGAATCTCTTGGGCCACCCTGGCCAACAACTCAAAGGAAGGTATCTCCTCTCTGGCATTGTTTCTTGTCATGTAGTCTTTAGCTATACACACGGACTCTTAAAAAAGTTATATTGACCCCTTTAATCTTTGGTTATACTTTCCTATTGAGTGTTTAAGACCATGCAGTTGGCCCAGATAAACCAATTTATTTTTACTCTTAAGGCCATTTGAGTATCTGTTTCTCAGGGGTCACATGAACTTGGGAGGATCCCCTGGCTCCTTTCTTTTACCAGTTCCATCTATGTAAGATAAGTCAAAGGTCCTGCTTGACCATAGCTGGCTTCACTTGGAAGCATGGAGGAAATGTTTCCTCTGTGTTGATTCTCCTCATTGTAGACTGGAC